TTGCACATGTGCTAACCGCATGCCTCAAAAGTAACTCAATCCAAGAAATCAGGGAGTGTTGGATAGTGAGCGTTAAGAAGGGGGAAGAGGGTTAATTTATTGATACTTGCAGTTTGAGGGGGAAGGGGTAGATCGCTAACCGATCCACCTCCCCCAACCTCCGCCTCCGCGGCTCCAGGCCCCGAGAGAGACCCGCAGTACCATGGCTGCCTTCGCGTCGCGGGCAAAGACGAACTGGCCGATGCGCTCCTTCTCCTCGGGCTGGATCGATCGCACCGCCAGCAGCCACTCGGCCCGGCTGGGCAGCCAAGTGCCGCAGGAAAAGGCCCAGCGCACGCCCTCCATGGATGGCACCAAGCACAACCGCTTGGCGGGGAAAACCATGCACAGGGAAGACGGACCTCGCCGCCACTTCGGGCCCGATGGCGCGCGGACGCTGGCGTGGCCACACCCCCTTCGTCCCGGCGTCTGCGCGCACGGGGCGGGGCGTTGTGACGTCACCGGCCTCGTCGCGCGCCCCGCCCCGGGGGGGGCCCTCCTCGCAGCCCGGTCCCCAACGCGGCCGCCCGCCCGCTCGGAGAAAGCGGCTGGGGGCGGAGACGGAGACCCGCCTCGGCGCTCTGCGGCATTGTGTGACGTCACGCGGGGGCGTGGCCTCGGCGGCGAGCGGAGGGCGGGACCAAGGCCGGGAGCCCGACAGTTGCGCCACTCACGCTTGGGGGAGCGTTAACAAGACAGCGGCGCAAGCCAATCGCAACCAGTCCTCTGGAGGCCGGGAGACCGGGGTGGAGACTTCGGAGACTGCCGTGGCAGGTGGGTGAGCTCCGGGGTCCGAGCGAGGAGTGGGATGGTAGCGCCTTATTCCCGGGGACTGGGGTTGGCCCCCTGGGATCCCCAGCGCAGGGGCTTTCCTTGGCCTTCCCAGCTGCTTCTCCCGCTCCTTCGTGTCCGGGTGCAGGAGAGGTGACCGCGGCTGGGGGGCAGGGGGTGTCGGCCGTGGGGCCCCCCTGGAGTTGTGCAAGGCGGCAGCCCCGAGTTGCCTGCCTCCCTACACCCCAGCCCCGCCGGCCAGAGACCCACCCTTACACGGGACATCGCCTGCGCTTGGCAGCCGCCTACCCCGAACCCCTCCGTCCGAGGGCCGAGCGAAGACCCTGCCCCCGGGGCGGGCCGTCCACCCCGCCCGAGTCCGAGGCTGCCAGCGAGCAGCTGGGCCAGTGCTGCCCGGCTGTTGCGGAGAAGAGGCGATCCAGGTGCTGTGCGATTGCCAAGCCGGGGCTAGAGCACTAGGGAGCGAACCTCGCAGGATGCTCTTGTTGAGGCATCCGTGGTGGCATCATAGCCGAGGTCCTTGCTGGGACGGCAGCGGAACCGCGTGTGTCACTTCTGCCGCCCTTCAGATGGACTCTGTGCCTCTGCTCGGTGATGCGTTTTCTCTGACTCTGTGAAGGGTCCTGTAGGGCGTATGTCTCTTTCCATCGTTGTTCCGTGCCGACGGCTGTTGCCCCTTTCTGAAAGCGCCTGCCCCATCAAAGTCTTCTGCTTTCGGTCCGGAGAGAAGTTGGTCTCTGCAGATGACTGTGGATGCCTAACTTGGTGGTCGATCCAAGTGCCCTGCTGTGGGGATTCAGCCTATTCCCTTCTAACTTTCCCCGCTGCAGGGAGAAATAGCAGCCAAAGCTCGTAGTAGTAATTAACACGGCTCCTTGCCCATCACTGCTATCCTTTTTAAGATGGGTTCTGTTCTGTTTTTAATCTGCATTTTTTCCCATTAACTTTTCGTGATATCATAAGCCCCCTCTAAGCCTTTGCGAGTAGATGGGATTTTGAACACACACACACACACATGCAAATCCTCAAAGGACAGTGGAATGAATTACTGGCTTAATGTATCAATTTAGCGAGTATTTACTAAAAGCCTGCGTCAGGTGCCACCTTTAAGATCTGCTGCTTACAACCTTCAGGGAGCTTACAATCTGGCAAGGCAGATGAAGCGTATACATAAAAAGCAACAGTAAGAAAAAATGTAAAGATCGGTAAGGTGAAAAGGAACTCTACTAATATTAGCAGTGATCATAACTCAGTTTTCCATGTTTAACGTTATGTATGTAAGTATCATATTAGAACGTCTTTCCTATCTGTTTGAACTGATTGTTATAACTATGATATGTTTTCTCTTTCTAAACACTTCCAAGTACATTATCTTGCATGTTCTTCTGGGCAGTAATTACTGATGGAGAAACAGCTCAGAAAGAAGTTTGTGGAATTATTTAAATTTAGGTTTAGAAATTTATATTCCGTTCTTTTACCATTGAACAAGATCTCTGTGTTTTACACCTATGGAGCCTAATATACAGGCAAGTAATGGAGTCATTTGTACTAGTTCTTTCTGGCTAGAATGTTCTTCCTCTCTCCTCCCATCAATGCATTCCTCATTCCTCTGTATCATTCAAGCTCAAATCTCACACCAAAGAGACTCTCTCTGCCCACCTAGTTTAAAATAGCTAATGCTAGCCGGGATCGGTGGCTCAGTCAGTCTGTAATCCCACGCCTTTGGGAGGCTAAGGTGAGTGGATTGCCTGATCCCGCGGGTTCGAGACCCGCCTGGGCAACTTGGCAAGACCTCATCTCTACAATAAATCAAAAAATCAGCCGGTCATGGTAGCACGTTCCTGTCATTCCGGCTACTCAGACGGCTGAGGCGGAAGGATCACCGGAGCCCCGTAGGTCAAGGTTGCAGTGGCCAGGAGCGGCCACTGCACTCCAGTCTGGGTGGCAGAGTGAGACTCCAACTCAAAAAAAAAATAGCTAATGCTCCCCACTTCCTACCACAAGCCCCAAGCCTAGTACCTTAGAGAACACTCTTCGTAGGTCTGTTTGATTTAACTAGCTTCTCTATTTACTTTTTAAAACCTTGTCATCCCTCAAGGGCTGACAAGGTTGAACTTCAAGTCTTACCTTCTCTTAAGGCCTACTCCAGGGTACCTTTTTTCAAAATAGTATTGTTTCTATAATTCATTTGGTAGTTATTCTAGTCCTGCCTTATGATATCTCTCCTATTGTCCTGAATGATTTGCACATGTGTTATCTTGCAAATGAGAATGTAAATTACTTGAGAGAATTTTATGTCTGCCTTAACTTTTACAACATGAGTACATGTTATTAATTGGCTTTTACAATAGGTTTTATTCTCAGGAGTAACACTGATTTTTATATTCTTTCTGCCTCTCTCTCACTTTTTAAAAAGGAAATGTAAACATGTAGTTCATAATTTGCTTAACTGTATATTCAATACCCCAAAATACTATTAAAAATTTTTTATTGCGTTGGCCAGAGGAAGAAGAGGTCTAAAGTGCTAGAGGCTCAGCTAGTTTGTGAGTTATGGTCATCTTGCCAGATGCTGATTGTGGCCTTTCAGCAGGATTCTAGGAGACCTGTGTTCTGTTTCCAGCTGTATCACCAGTTGTCTGTGTGGCTGGGTGAATCACATAACCTCTTCCAGGTAGTAATTTCATGGAAAGGCATCAAATGAGATCATCTTCTAGGTGATTTTTAGGTCATGTTCACTAGTTTTTATTGGATCATAAACTTTATTCTAGCTCAAACCTTTTTTGCCCCTCAAAACTTTATTGAATAGCTCCATAATTCTACCAGTTTCTCATGGAAGAAACCATGTTTCTCCTTTTCCCTTGGTCTCCATATCCAGTCCGTCCCAAAGTCCTTTTGGTCTTGTTTCTAAAATAGCACTAAGTCCATTATTTCCCTTTATCTCCATGGTTAGCACTCTAGTTTAAGCCACCATCATTTCTCATGTGAAATACTGATTGGTTTTCTAGTCTGCATGAGAAAGGTGAGTCTTCCAATGTCTGTCTTCCATATCCCAAACACAACTTCTCTTCAGAGCTAGCTCTAGAAATTCATGCCCTTTATCTTCCCTATACAATATCATCCTCTAATTAGACTGAGAAGGAGAGGCCAGCAAGGTAGAAAACCTGAAGAGTTGTGCCACAGAAACCAAGAGTATTTTTAGAAGGAGTCCTAATGATCAGTGTCAGTATTCCAGAAAGCTTAAATAAGATGAGGGAGGGAGAAGTGAGCATTTACCTTAAAGATGGTAGCGTGGTGACATAAACAAGAGCAGTCATAGTAGGGTAAAGAAGAGAAACTTGAATATAGTGAGTTGAGATGTTAACTGGAGGTGATAGTACCACAGAGTTGTTCTTTAGACATTTTTTGGGTTTGGGAGTAGCAAAATGGGATGGTGACTAGAGGGGAATAAAAAGTTAAAGGATAGATTTTTGTTTGATGTTTGTTTAAAGATAGGAGATACTAAAATTTGTATGCTAATAGAAAATATTTATCAGAGTGGAAGAAATTGTCAAATGTTGAAGGGGGCGGATAGTGTGTGTTCACCACTCTAAAGTGTACTCCAGAGCAGAAGACCTTGTCCGTACTGTTTTTAGCTGTATCCCTAGTATCTAGAATAGTGTCTGCCACAATAATTGTTACTCCATAAACTTTCTAATATTTGTTGAATAAAAGAATGACTTGAGTCTACTTCTCTTACCTTCTTTCAATTCATTCTTTATATATTAGCTAGAAAAATATTTTTTTTAAAAGCAGATCATGTCACTGTCCAGTTTTGTTTTGTTGTTGGTTTTTTTTGAGTTGGAGTCTCACTCTGTCGCCCAGGCTGGAGTGCAGTGGCCGCTCCCGGCTACTGCAGCCTCGACCTGCTGGGCTCCGGCGATCCTTCCACCTCAGCCTTCCAGTAGCTGGAATTACAGGCACGCGCTACCACACCTGGCTAATTTTTGATTTATTGTA